CTTGGCATCTTGAACAAAGTGCACCGATTTTTTACTCAAGAGCTGCGATACCTGTTGTATAAAGCTCAGGTCCGAAGCAGCATGGAGTACTGTTCGCACCTTCGGGACGGCTCTGCCAAGTACTTGCTCGATACCCTAGATGGACTGCAGCGCTACGCCTTCCGTGTTGTCAACGATCCTCATGTAACTGAGCATGCGGAGTCGTTACAAGATATAGAGATATAGCGTCTCTTAGCGTATTCTATCGCCTGTACCACGGTGAGTGCTCTGAAGAGTTATTCAACCTTATCCCTTCCTCTCCTTTCCATCAGCGGACCACCCCACCCGTGCCGGACTGCGTTGCCACAGTTGGACGGTCAGTTCAATACCGTCCCGCACTAAAAAGTTTGGCAATTCGTTTTTTATACCGAACCATCAAATTGTGGAACCAACTCCCGGCGCATGTATTCCCTCCCCTCTATAACATCGGGTCCTTCAAACGTAGTGTGAAGCATTTGGCCAGACCGGCAAAATGATAGTGACGGAGTGAAGATATTTGTGTTTTCCATCCGTTACTCTCATCTCTGGACTGTATTCGCACTTTCCATCAGGCGCGGTGCAGTCATTTTGCCGAGTCACAATAAAAAAAAAAAAAAAAAAAAAAGAACAAGTTGTGCGGCTTATCACCAGGTATAAGCCACACGCCTTTCCATAACAGTTGCAGTGTCACTTAGCGCTTTAAATCACAAAGATCTGAGGAGCACTACCACTGCACCCGTCACCCTGAGACATATGTTGACTAGTATTTTCACCGGCACCTCTACCCTTCAAAACTGAAACGCAACAATGTTCTCATTAGCACTTGGCGGCAGAAACAGGTAACGTGGCAGTACTTCCCTGGAAAGAGTTTTCTTTCACAAGCAGCTCTACTGCTATTAAAAATTTGTATTCGCCATCTGAAGTCGATATAAGTCCCGCGTTCGATGCATACACCAATTTGCTTACCTATAATAGAATAGAAATAAAGATAACCACTGCATATTAACCGTTAATTACAGTTAGGTAATTATAACTGGAATCGGATCGAATAGAAGCACAATTACTGTTAACTATAAAAATTCTGCTATTGCAGCTCACATATTTAAAGTTAGGAAGAATGAAAGAGACAGGAGATATTTCATCTGCAAAGTTGATTTAAGTTAACGTTTAAGTTAAATTAGGAAACATGGAATCGACAGCAACTCATTCAACATTGCGATGGCGTCACAGGTAACAATTAGCCTTGTTTCTTGCTCTATACATATTTCAAGGTTGTTTCAAATGTCAAAGACTAATAACAGAGGAAGGTCCACAGCAACCACAAAGGGCGAGCGAAGTTGATCAAAGAACGATTTAAATATTCAGCAGGAGAGACAGCGAGTTATAGCGGTTACCCTTGAGTTTCTATGTCAGGAAACACAAAAGTCTGCTGCGGTCTACTTTGGCAAGCACATCACATTTTATACATTAGGTAATTACAAGCACATGCGTCGTAATTATTCTTTGAAACATTTCTCTGATTATTTTAATGTACACCGGCTTTTATGGCTTTCGTTGAATGTTATTTATATTTCTCGCACTATATGATAATATATTTGAAAAGTTAAGTAAGGCCAAGTTGAATAAAGGCTACTTTACTAAGTTACTTATGAAGATTATAATCGTTACTTTGAGATTACACGTAAATGAGTGACTATAGACGAATGCTACGTGTTCCGCTGCAACCGCAAAGGACGAAATGCGAATTTGATCAAAGAACGACAATTTAAATATTCAGCAAGAGGCGGCCACGAGTTATTGGGGTGCGCACCCTTAGTTATGGTGCTAAGGGGCAGAATTAGGTCCAATAGGGCAAAGGGTTGTAATTGCGGAGATTTGTTGAGAAATTTAAAGGATAATTTGGGGGTTCAATTAGATTCTTGGATATGTTTTAAAACTGTCTAATCAGATTTGGTCATAACAGTGAATTTTAAATATCTGAATTATTCGAATTTCGTGGAATGGAACCATTTGATAATATTTACATTGATGAAAATTCATTGTAGTTTCAATAAAAAAGAAATGATCGTTTGTTGAATTTAAATGTTTTGAGATTCATCTGTTTTCAAATCGTAACCAATTTTATTTCAATGTGACTTTTTCACGATTTCACCTTTTATATTTTACTTTTTTTTATGAGAACAGGCCAGTGTTAAAAAGCGTGTAAAAACGTATGAATATTAGATAAAAATCAAACAAATTTCAATGATTTTAAGGTTTACTTTGTATATTTTTCGGAAGTCTTTAGTTGCACACACAAAACAAAGAACAATGACGAACTCATATTTAAAATTTTTTTGCTGTAATTTGTATGCGTCTGTTTATGAACAATATATGAAAATATAGTTTAAATTCCTGAACAAATTTTGTTTTGGGTTTACTGTTCTGAAAAGTCTGAAATTAATCTAATCTATAGGAAATGAAACTATTTTTCCGTATTTAAATCGCGTATATTTGTTTTTTCAAACAAACCTACGTTTCGGGCCCTTTACAGGTCCCATGGTCACGGTTGACTGAGGTGGTACAGTTTTCAACCAGTTATGTCTAATATTGATGCAATTTTTCACTATAGTTACAATAGTTATTAATTAAATACCTTATTTTTAATTTTACAAAGTAAACATTCCAATTTACGCTACATTAAGTTTAGTTTAGTATTTGTACCCGCGTCAAAGGCACAAACAATCAACAGAGGCACTTACTTCCTTTGAGGAAGTTTTTATTGCCGAGCGAATATTTTATTATTATTGACACAAAGATCGAACAAACACAAAGAAAAGTTCCTTCGATTCGAATGAACTCGAACCAGTGTTTGTTGCCTCAACGTGGCCACCGCTGTTACCAATTGAGCTACAAATTTTACGAATTTCTCTATGTACCTGCGCGCATCTTTGTTTTGGGTGTTAAACTTTTTCGCCGTAGCGCCATCTGTGAGTGATGTGTGGTATAAGTTGATGATGGTTGCAAGTCACGCGGTTTTTCTATTGGAGCAGACTAAGTAAAAATCGGTGGAATCGTAGTCCAAGTTGATCAATCAATTATGTAGCAGATTTTGTGCATTCATATTTATTTATAGAGTATATGGATGTGTTTGCTAATTTTATTATACAAATAGTTTCCAAGAAAGTAGAAAAATCAATTTGAGAGCTTGGTATTGGTTTTGTGAATGGGCAAAAATGTAGAAAATTAATTGAAAACAACGTAATCTTAACACATTTGATTATTACATACTTTTCTCTAATACGAGGGTTAGCAGTCCTCTTGAGTCATTTATTTCTTAAGTATTTGGACAGCAAAATAGATGACAATCGAATTACATCGATAAGAGTTAAATATGAGTTCTGTACCAGATTGTAACCCTACTTATGTAACACATCATTATAAAATAACAAGAAAGATCTAATAATTTACTTACTTAATTAATGTACCCAATAATTTGTTAAATACAAAAACGAAAGGGGTTTGGGTGAATACCTATGTAAGTGTACCTGTACCTCCTTTAAATATTCTGGATCTTGAGTCAAAAATAACCAAACCGCAGTTTTTCATAGATATCTCGTTGTAAAGCCAGACACATTCTTACTAGGGGATTATAAACTTATACGTTCGCAGGTTAAATGTCTGGCTAAGTATTAGGTTGGTTGTTGGTTCATGGTTGCGGTAACAATCTAACAAAGCATTTTCTGACACTTCGTTAGTATTTTTGAATGCAATTCAAAATGCCACTTAAAAATTATATAGGATTGATTTTTAACAAATGTTAGACACGATATTTTTGAATGCAATAAACGCTCAAGTAATTCTGAGACTGGCCTTTCAGCCGCCAGTTTAAATTAGTTACGACACCTAACAGCGAGCATCGTATCTACGGTATGATGAACAAATAATTCAAATTCAAAATATTTTATTTCGCCAAATATTACAGCAAAGAAAACTACAGGATAGAAAAATGAAAGGAAATAAAAAAAAATAATTAAATTAAAATTAAAAATACATATTATTGATAAGAGTCAACCGCTACCACTATCCACCCATGTGCTTGTCCGCATGCAAGCACATCCACTGGTGTAGCAGCGGAGAGTCCTACCGGCCAGTAAAAACGTTCAGGATGCTGTTAGATGATCTACGCAGCTCAGCAGCGACGCAGTACGCTTGCGCAGGATCGCGTGGAAACCGTCCGTTGCCGTCTCCGCGAACATATCGGAAGCACTGCAGAACCGTGGCAGACCCAGCAGCATTCTGAACGCGTTATTGTACGTGCAGTGCACCGGCTGACCGCTGCGCATATGAGACCCAGACTGCAAGTGTAGAAGATTGGCAGAAAGCTTTGAATAGCGTTATCTGTCTATCTATAATGATAATCTTCATTTTCTCTTTACAAAGGTTACAAAGTTTTATAATCACTAAAAAACCGATCTCAAATGTCATTCATCCCCTAGTTTGCCACCCTCTAAGGTGGAATATTTTCTTCAAATTTAAATGGGACTACAATTTTCCAACAAAAAAAGGAATCATCAAAATCGGTTCACAAATAGTTCACGGTTATCGCGTAACATACATGCAAAAAAACATACAGTCGAATTGAGAACCTCCTTTTTTTGAAGTCGGTTAACAAAGGAATTCACTTCAAATGCTTAAATATTAAAAATACCTTTGTAAGAGACTGGAGCCCACACTAGGAATTAACCTCTGTGACAGATCTCCAGTCTCTCACGAAGTTGAATAAAATGGTGTTTGATAAAAGCAGTAAGCTGTAGCTTTAGTAGAAGCAGTAAAAGTAAGCTTTCACAGAAAATAAAAGTGATGATAATTTACTGACGTAAATACAAATAAAAATTGTAAACATTTGCCTTTATAATCTAAGTACGAAGTTAATGCATTCAGTGATCATTGCATGCTATATAAATGTTTTGTAGAGTGTAACTTTAGAGTTGTATTTTATTGGACGTCGCGAACTCGCTCTCTTTGAATATTTCACCGCGGGTACGTGCTCTACGGTTTCGTGGAATTTACTGCACTCGCCGTACAGCACGTTTCCTTCGCTGCTCTGTTTATACCGACTTCCAAATAGATACAATTCGTAAAATAAACAAAACGACATGTACTTGTAAATTGCGTGTTCAGAATCTGACCAATTCTTTCGACCGTCTGATCTGGTGAGAACTGGATAATGAGTTTCAATACGTACTAGTATCATTAGGAGATTGTAAGATTTTTTTAAGCAATTACAACTTTATGTTGGTGAAAACTGTGCTTTTTATCGATTTCGATCGTCGAACATCGAAAGTTTCATCGTTTCGATCGATTGAACTGTTATTGACTTTAGTCAATTCGATATTGAAATCGATAAGTGGCTTAATTGCTTTAGTTTCAGAGTAGGGGTGAGTGAGAAAGCATTTGTCATGATTTAAAAAACAATGAATATTTAAATTTATGTAAGTATCAGTTTTCTTGTACTCTTTTATGCAATAAAGAAGATCTCGATGATGAATGACCAAAGAAACGTTAAGAATTGTGTACCAAAAACTAAACCACAAAAGTACGCCACAACTTTTGCATTCAGAATTTATTACAGTGATTAATGTGAATAGAAGTTTTCTTAAAAAATAATACAGTAAGAAAAACTCGTCGAAAAACGCTAATCAAAATGGGGACAGTAAAAAACTTACAAACCTATAGAAAACAGTGAAATTTCTCGCGTTTACCAATTACGTCGTTATCTTTAGCTCTAACTGAATAAAACTCCCGGTCGTTTCATCATTTTCGCGCGCCCAACTTTTAGTTAGTTTTTGTGCAAACTTCTGATTTACGACCGGCCGGGGCCATCTCACGGCAGAGCGTTAATAAAGGAATTTACTTCAAAAAAGGTCGCGGAATTATTATTTTTTCCACAGACTTGATGAAATTTAAGTAGGTTTTTGATGGTGAGAATTAAGTGTCACGACCAAACTTTTTATAAAGAATGCAGGTGAGATAAATTGTTCCCTATTTAATGTGGTTTTGTGGACGCATTGAAAGATTGCGGTGGACTGCACATTTTATAAAATATTTACTTTTTTAAATTTATTTGTTACAAATAAAAAATCATAGAAAACATCTTTTTATGCAATGTAACATAAACTATATTGCTTTCCCGTACATTGCTAAATTTGTCGGCGGGAGTAGCGATAGTTTACCTGAATTATAAACTAGGCCTCAGTTAAAGTAAATAAACATTTTTATTTTTTATTTGTAAGTGCTAATGGTGTGTGTAGTATGATTAGGATGGTGCGCGCGTGAATGAGTGACAATTGTTTGTTTGTTTGTGGATGTGACTGTGTTATGAAGCCGATTAACAAATTAAGTACTGTATTCTTTCAACACATTGATAAATGAATATGTCGTAGCTAAGGTACGTTAGTTAGTGCTGTACGATAGGAAGAATTGTATCTCATGTGTGGCAAGCATAATATTGCATGCCTTCGATACGATAAGAAAAAGAAATCTGTTTAACACCACCTGTTTTCTGCTACGGCCTGTCATATCCTAAAAGAACTAACTATCTCCCTGCGGACTGTTCACAATGGATCTATATAGAACTAGCGTACTCTAATTAAAGTGTAAAAGAGCCGTAATCCCACGGGGCTTTCGAAGGTTCGCTCTAATTTCGACTCAAAGTCGCACAATTTTCGTATGTATGTGCAAAATTACGTGTGACCCCCGTGTTTCGCTACCGATGCGGGTTGCAATTGGCTTCTTTACGTCGCGGCACGCGCGCCGACGCCGCGCCGCCCGTCGCCGTCTCGATGACGTGTCGATGCCATCGGGTTGGTAAGGTAAAAGTTCCGCCTGTGATTGGTTGGCGACTTTAGGTCGTTTAGCTGGAACATACTTGTGTATTCTATAAACAAAAGCAGCAAAAATAATATCAAAGTACTCTAGTAGTATCCATCTAAATCTCAATCAAACAATCTGTAGGATCTCTCTTAGATAAAAGTTAAGTCTTAGATAATATTGACCTTAGAACTAAGCCCAAACTCATGGTACCATGATTTCGTTTAACTAAGGTAAAGGATTCTTTTATGGGGAACTGTATACGCTTTTACAATAATATTCAGGAGCATATATTAAGATTATCATTTCCTAGGTTTAAAACTTACATCAAAAGTATTTTAATTGAAAGATCATATTACAAAATTGAAGAGTACGTATTCGTTATAGGTGTATGGAAAGACAACAAGAGCCTAGATTCTATACAAATATAATTCAAAATGTATTCTATAGCATTTAAGTTTATTCGAAAAGAGGAATCCATAAAGTTTCTTGCTCGTTCTTCCCTCGTAGGTCAGCGCAGCCGCAATGAATGAGCAGTAGATGTAAAATGACGTTTTCAAGTGCAAAAATGTTTACCTGTAGAATAAAAATGATTATTTGACTTTGACTGCACTTCCTACTTCACAATTCATAGACGCAATAGATGTGTGAAGTTCTATACTAATTTAAGCCGTTGCTAAGAACGTACGTGAGGTGAAAGCTATTTCGTGCTGACAATAAAAGCAGTACAAAAACATTCAAAGTCAATTAAAATACAAAAATGCCTTAGTGGTAGTACCTGCTAGTAGGTATAATGTGGCATTAACGTATCGGGCACCTGCGCGAGCGATGCTGCCACTGCTGTCACTGCCTCCGGCGCGTTTTATGGACGTCGCGTGGCGCGCATCGCAACTAAACACCGATAGAAGGAAACATACAGGTCTGTCTTTATACCAAATAAACGTACGATACGCTTTTATCAATCTTTACGATAATCACATCACTATTTCCCAGACATCGTTATAATTTAAGGTCAATGGGGCGCCTGAGTCTTGTAACAGTACATCTACCGGGCGTATTTATTCTTAGGTACCTAATTAAACACAAAGTACTGCAACGTTATAATGTCTACGTCAAATTTGTGTGAGGGTAAAGATATTTACCACAGTATTATTATAAGGAATTATTTTCAATCGTTTTGCGATAAATCTGCGGTGTTAGTTTTGAGACGAAAGCATTTGATAAGAGACAAGTGGCAACACAAGAAAGAGACTAAGAAATATTTTCTTCATAACAATGTTGCTATTGTAAGATATCAAGTGGCGAGACGCAAAGTAATGTACTGCTACTACCTGCTGGTAAGCGACACGCCTATTCTTAATCGTTGCAGTGTTACTCAGAGCTTTAAATTGCAAAGATCTGAGGGGCACTGCCACTGCGCCCGTCACCCTGAGATATAGCATTGATATTGCGGGCTGTTTCTGCCGCGTTAGTTCCGCGTCGGAACTCGTATTCAAAAATCACTCGAATTTTCGCAGTATCCATCTTTCTTGTCTAAATTGAATAACAAAAACAATTGAAAGTCGATATTCAAATGTTACAAATTAAAAAAAAAAAATCACAGAAACCATTTGAAAAAAGTTTCATTCGAAAACCTCAAACCATGAAGATTCTATGAAAATTCAAAGAACCTATTGCAATAAAACGGCAATTTCATACTTTAACCCCTAATATTAAGATATCAGATTTGTTAAGTGCTGTTGTATGTTTTCATTTGTAGGGGGATTTTATTTTGTTACCATATTAAAAAAGTATTATTTTTTCTAAATAAATAAACGCGATTTAGATCTCAAAAAATAATTTAAAAATAGGACACAGATTCTCACAATCATTATTATTTTAGTTCAGATCTCAACCTTTTTTTTTTGACGGGGGGGGGAAATCTTTATGGATACCCCTGAGCCCAGGGAGACTCAGGAGTTATGTGGGGACTCTCCCTCCAGATTGGAGGGCCTACCCCACTAAAACCCCCCCGGGTTTCCCTCTCGCCGGTTGAGTCGGCGCCATGGGATCAGTGAACATTCACCACGACGCCGCCCGGCCGCCCTAGCTTACGCCAGGTCTCCCGCGCCAACGGAGGGGCGAGTCGGTTGTCCTCCAACCCGCCCCCCAGACGAGTGAGGCCTCAGATCTCAACCCTACCTACTCTCATATGTCAGCTTTACGCACGGGTCTGTTTTAAATTAAGCTCGGAGTCAACCAATCTTGCAAAATGCGAGTCGAAATATCACATGCCTTAGAAGAGGTTACAAAATCCTTCTCTCGGAAGGCGACGTTGTTATTACCGCACCAATTAATCCATAGATCCAGGCGCTGTTTCGCGGAATTCATATTAATAGAAATGGAAGTAAATTACTTTGCTACGCAGCGAACCCAGTGAAGGGATTTTTATCAAACCAGCTACCTGGTCGCGAAGTAATGAATTCGCCTCACTATGAGTACAAGACGAACGAAATTATTTCTAGGGCACACGGAACAACCCGATCGAAACATATTTAGAAAAATTCATTTCCCAATTGATGCTACCGGTAATCAAACTAGGGACCTCCAAATCTCGCGTTCCAACTGTTATGAATCACTGTTTAATTAGTTAACTTCAACTGTTACCTAAAACTATCAAAAAAGTCTAAGCCTTCTTTCTGTAAAAAGAAGCAGTTATCATTCCCAAAACAGTTTTTCTGCAAAAAGAAGCGCAGATTGTAGTTAACTCATGACAACTTTTTATTTATAGTAAAAATATGATCTAGCACTTAAATACCATTGATCAACAAGGACAAGCAAGCTGCTGCCGTTTGTGACGGCTGTTGTAGGTACGGAAAAAGAACCCTTACGGCGCTAACGCGTCAACCTCACTGATAAGTGACTCACTCAATCAAGGAAGTCCATTTTCGTTATCGTTCTAAAAAATAGCCAGGCTCTCTATGCCAAGTCCATCAGTTCACGCACCGAATCAGTAAAATACCTCAATAAACGCAATTGTTTTCGAAGCTGTCGTTGAGTCAAGAGAACAGGTAATAGCAAAAGGCTTACAACAGCGTACTCGTCCAAAATACTTCCCTGTATAAACCTTTACATTGAATGCGCCAATAAAAGCTTCACTATATTTGTTCCCGTCTCTGGCTAGTAACAGGCAATTCGTAATCATTTCACGCAGTCGACAATTCATAACATTTATACCAACGCTCAGTTTCAGCTTGTAATGACCATTTTAAAGTTTTATTATATCTTGCACCATGTGGGGTGTGCAGTGCCGGTACTACGTGATTTTCAAATGGCGGTTTCGAATCGTAGTTTTTTTTGTTGCAATTTCTATTACTGACACCGTGCACATTTTTGTTCCGGAAACAAAATGCTGTGCAAGTCTGATAAAAACTTTTTATTTTAATCTTAAGAAGTTCTTGTCATACCAAGATGGGAGCTCAGTTCTGGTACATTCGAGCAGCGGGTTTTATTTTTTAACCGACTTCAAATATGAGGATGTTCTTAGTTCGACTATATTCTTTGTGTTACGCGATGACTCTGGCTCCATTCGTGAACCGATTTTGATGATTCTTGTTTGTTAAAAAATAGATACGGAGGATCGGTCCAATTTAAATTGGAAGAAAATATTCCACGACACAAGGGTGACAAACTATTGGATGAATGACTTTTCAGGTCCGTTTTGTTTTGGTACTCTGTTCTGACCGGAACAGGATCCCCTGAATCCAGTTTCGGGCACTTTCCGTTACCCAATTTCAATGAAAGTTGACATATAGATGTAATTCCTATAAAAAAACCGATAAGCAAATTTTAAAGGTCGGTTTTTTTATTAAAAAATTATGAAAACTCTAAACAGTTTTAGGTGTGGTTTAGAATGAAGAAATAAATATCGAAATATTTTGTATTTTTGTTGTTGTTTAATGCAGCGAGTCTTCGATTCTTCTAATTTATAAGAGCTTTGTGTGCGATGAACGACGCCCTTGAGCGCGTTTAAAAAATTAAAAGGAGATATTAGCATAGTTATTGCATTACAGCATTTGTTTCAAAAATATGTTATTTCTTTAGGTATATTTTGTAAAGTATTTCATTTATTTAGCGCGATATTTCTCATGCTATTCCACTTTGAATTGAATAAATTGTTTTTAATTTTTAACCCCCGCGCAGCGCAGAGTAGTATTATAAGTTTGAAGCCTTTTTCTGTGTATATATAACGAAATGACAGATCTCAAAGCAGTTTTATATTTACAGGCTAATTCATTCGAGATGGTTCTTGGCAATGGTTGGTAAACATCTTTTCAGCAGTTTTTTTATTAGACAATAAATCACAGGTAAAGTACAATAAAAGCTTAAATACTAGAAATTAAAACGAGGATTCAATTATATGAATAAAATTGTGTCCCCGCGGTGGGATGCCCAAGATGCTGGCAGCGTTCCCTCTTTGTATGTTACGTATGCTTTAGATATCAACAATAAATATAAATTAAACAAATTAGAAGTTGTGGATTTGGCTGCTCCAGGTGTCGAGATAGGCACACATATACTGTCTGTCTTCATTCGTCGTGTTACTAACTTAAAAAGGGCATTCTCAGCTTATTATGTGTTTGCCCACTCGCGACTCGCCTATTATACTGTGACGAAACAGCTCTAACTGAAAAGAAATACTTGTTTTAAAAAAAAAATGTTATACCTATATTATTTGTAATGTTTATACCTATATTATTTCTTTTCCCTGATTCCGAATATGTATGTAACTCAATTTTTATGAAAATGTTAGTTGTGCCCTTTTTCATTTCGAGGACAGCATTAACCCATACAAGTGCTATACATGTGAAATGCAATAAATGAATATGAATATGATACAGAACTTCTCTTAGTATTTATTATGTTCCTCGTTGCGATGGCGTTGGCAAGGAACAGTGAGACGGTAGAGGTGCTGTAGAGAAGCCACAGAAATGTACTAATTAATGTTCCGCAAAACTGGTAACCTGGTGCTAACGAATCACCTGAGCTTGATATTCGACCGTATTTAATTGTTTTCTAAAATATAATATTGTTACACACTGTTTACGGATTTATTGTCTTAGCACGGTGCACATGTCTCTTATTGCTACGCATCTCTAACAGAATGCTACCATGTATGTGATTACATAGCAATTTATATTAGTAAATTTTGTGACAATTATTTTTTTT